GAGGGAAGGATCCGGAAAAGCTGCTCAATACAAAACTGAAGATGTTCCTATTGTCACCTCAGGGAGGCTGTCTGCTAACGGTGCAAACCCCGAGTCAACCTCCAACTACGCCGAATGAACGAAACGAGGATGTTTATTCAGATGCATTCTGTGTGGTGACCAGCAGGGGGCGACTCCTCTGCTCCCATAGACGTCTATGAGGAAATGACTCTACTTCTCTGTAGTGACCAGCAGGGGGCGACTCCTCTGCTCCCATAGACGTCTATGAGGAAATGACTCTACTTCTCTGTAGTGACCAGCAGGGGGCGACTCCTCTGCTCCCATAGACGTCTATGAGGAAATGACTCTACTTCTCTGTAGTGACCCAGCAGGGGGCGACTCCTCTGCTCCCATAGACGTCTAGGAGAAATGAACTCTACTTCTCTCTTGATTTATTCCCTCAGTAAACATTGTAAACATGAGTTTATGGTCTCAGTCTCTAGTTTCAAGTCTTCTTCATCACAGCATGATGGTCATTTAGTGAATGAACTACTATATCTTAAAGGTAATAGTTATTTGCTGATGTATTTGGTCATTTTCAAACATTTTTGTAACAGTTCATTGCTGCAGTGAAATTTCCCTGAATGCGTTATTATCATCATCATAACCGTTAGTAGTTTTCTCCATGCTGTTCTACCACATAAATGGAAATGTGATACAAAGGGCCTTCACAATGTAATGAAAAAAATAGAAAATTATGTATATTGCTTGTTTCTACAAGTTTCTTAAAAGTTGTTATATTAGTCAAAAAGACATGATATCCAATTAGTAATGGTTGCATTCCATTCAGTCATTCCAGCACGCACTAAAAACTAATCTGATACCTCGATGAAACGACTAACTCTAACATGGCGTTTAATAACATGCAGAAATGTCTGCAGCGAGGATGATCCCTGACGCAGGAATCTTTGGTCTTTAATAAGCCAGACTCATCGCTGCACTGTTTCCCTCCTCCAGAAAGGCCAGATAATGTGAAATGAAGAAGCTGCGTGGAAGAAGAGCCACGCTGTGGGTTGACGAAGAAGCTAAAAAAACAGATTAGCATGAACGTCGTTTGAGACTCTGATGTCACACAATCCGAAGAAATTCAACAGTTTATAAAGTTGATTTAACTTTAGTGAACTTTTTATGAATGAGCTCACAGATGATGTAGTATTAGGATGAAGTTGACATTAGATGGTTTAAAGTTGTGCACAGGTAATGAGCTGAGATCAAAACACTGTTTCCAAGTCACAAACCAAAGATCTTTTGTTTTTGTTTACAAAAAGGCTTTTGGATTTTATTTCTATTTTGGGTGGTTGTGAACAGGGAACGACGATCATTTGCAGCAACATATAATTCTCAGCAGTTGGTGGAGACCAAAGAGGAGCTACAGGAAGAGTTGCATCAGACATAACATTTGTTGTAAAGTGGCCTGATATGTGATCACCTCAGTCAATAAGGTCCATTGCTGCTTTCGCTTCATTTCATGCATTCATTTTATCTTCTGCAGGGTCTTTTGCCCACACGTGATAGTCTGGAACATCTACAAATGAAGTGGTCTCCAACAACGCACTCACACAAAAGGTAAATTGTCTCTCTGATCGATGGAACCGGAGCTGAAGAAACCCAAGACGAACAGAACTTCAACTCCGAACTCTGTCGGCTGAACTGACGCACTGAGAACTTCTGAGACACCCGCTTTCCTTCTGCTTAGCCGTGTGCGATGCGAGGACTGAGAGGAGGCGTGGGGGGGGCAGAGAAGGTTAAGCCCTCGCTCTGGTTCCTCCTCTCGTCCCGCTGGTCTCTTTAAGAAGCTCGAGGCTTGTAAAGCCACGAGCCAGAGAGGAAACACACACACACACGTGTACTCGAGGTGGTGATAAGGAGCTACTTAAGGGCACTTGAGCTCTCCGCTTGAACACTTGTTTAGAGGCTCCGAGCCAACTTCGTCCTGCAGCTGAGCTCAGCGGAGTCTTCCTCAGAGCCAACAAAACCGACGACCCGCGCACACACACACCGTGAGAGGCATTCCTCCGCTGGCAGCAGCTTCTCGTCTTCCTCCTCTTCCTCCTCTTCATCCCTTAATGAGGCGGCGAGCGGCGATTCCGGCCGGAGCTCCTTTTGTGAGCCGGCTGGCTGGAGCTCCGCCGACAAATTAAAACTCAATTATGTTTTCATTTCACACTCTTTTATTGGGCGTCAATGATTATATATATATATATATATATATATATATATATATATATATATATATATGTATATATTAGAAAAAGGGCAACCCAGGAGGGACGAGGGGGGAGCAAAGGAGGAAGGACGGAAGGATAGGGGCCGAAGGGAGAATGCAGAAGGGGCTGTAACTGTTCTCCTCCTTCAGGATTTTCTTTTGTATCATACGGCCTCTTGTTCCATTGTGTGTGTCTGTGTGTGTGTGTGTGTGTGTGTGTCTGTGTCTGTGTGTGTGTGTGTCCCATTGTCTTCTGAAAAACAGCCATAAAGCCTGCAGGAACATTAAGATGGGATATGAAGGCCGTACACTCAACATGCCAATATAATGAAAGCGATGCGCAGTCGTGTTTTTGTGAACGTCATCATTCGTGCATCTGCGGTTCCTCACCTGTTGGAACAGACGCTCCAAATGGGATCATTTCGGTTGTTTGATTCGATATGAGAGCAATTTAAATCAGTTTAATAACCTAAACCTAAACGTCTAAAATTCATGGCAATCAACAGCGTTTAAGGGGATTCCACCTTCGACGTTGGAACTGCTGTAACTTTCATTTAATAAATTGTGTTGTTTAATTTACTTTTATTCTCCTCATTCCTTTGCCTTGAATTTGTACTGCTTTTTTTATTCCATTCCAAGAGTATTTATATTATAAATATATTATATTACTAACCCAGAGCATTATATTTTTATTTTATTCCTCTTGCAATGTTGTCGTGTCGTCCATTGTCGTACTGTCATGCTGTTACGCAACAACTGTCAAGTCAAATTCCTTGTATGTCTGACACATTATGGCAATACATGTTTCCTGATTCCTGTAAACTACACAATATTTCCCCGTTTTCCCCATCAGATGCATCTTAGTGTTCAAGTACGACGCGTTGTGATTCTCAGCTGTGCGTTCCGATAGTGACGTTGATAAATAAACACACACACACACACACACACA